GGGGGGGGGGGTAAACGGGCCAAGATGTCACAGACTTCATTTCAGTCCGGTGGTAGAAAGCCCTCCTCAACTGCCATGCCAACCCACATTTTCACAGCCACTAAATATTATCCCGACCGCGGTGCGTTGGTAAACTGTGTGTCCATGCTGTGTGAAGGCACAGCTCCATGTGCACCCTGCAGACTCTGCATGTGAGCAGTGATTAATTATTGTCATTGGAGGTGCAGGCAACTGTGAGTGGTTTTTTTTTTGTGTGTTTCCCTTTCCTTATAGAGGAGACAAAACGCAGCTTGCACATCACGCAGGCTAGATGTGTCTATTTTATTAGATCAGTGTATGTGTTTTTATTTTCCAGCTTTAGATTTGATCATTTCTGATGATATTTGATCATTTTGTATCTGCAAATGCAAAAGAAGAAAAGGCTTTTTTAAAATTACAATACATTTTTACAACTTTTATAAGCTGTCAGTTAGATGCATGTACTCAATAACACGATGCCTCTCAAATATACTAATTCATAACAAAAACAAATTGTTCTCACACTCTGATGCTTCTTTTCTCTCTTTTTTTTAACATAAACTCACCATTTCTGAAACAGACCATTATTATCATCACCTGAGCTACACATGCAAATGGGATTTGGTGAGTGACTTCCAGCAGAAATGTCACACTATATGAAGGTTTTATTTCACGTTTTAAAGGACAGTGGATCAAACAAGTGAAATTGCCTTTTGTTCTGCTTCCTCTCTGGCTTTGCTGCTCGCTGCCATCCTGTAATTTGCAGCGTCAATGAACGCAAACTAGATGCACTACAATTAACTAAATTCAATGTCTATTTTCATGTTCAATGTGGCATCAAAATATGAATTGATTTTGTTTACTGAGTTGCATGCAAACAGAAAATGAATCGTAACACGTGAGAAAGAAGATTGTTATATTGGTTAATTGATTGCATTATCATAAGGGTCACGAGGGATACATGGAGAAAATGAAATTATATTATAAGGTTATTTTTTTATAGTTTTCATAAAATAGAGAAGAATAAAAAATATTGAACATTATATAATAATAACAATCAAAACCAAATGTACTCACAATAATTTAATGTGTTAAAAAAACACATGGGCTTGTTTACTTTTGTGTGATAATCAGATTTTAATATTTGATTTCATTACCAGCCAGTAAGGTCACACTTTATGGTCCCTGGAATTTAATTATAATAAAAATGAATGATGTTTTTTATTTTTTAAATGCCCATATAAATTAAAGGTTTATTCAGATGATTTGACTTCTAAATTAAAAACATTTATTTGTCTCTTATTTGACAATAATTGACTTTGGGTGTTTATGAACACCAGGAAACATTAATAGCTCGCATTCATTTCATTAAAAGGTCAGTCTGTTTGGTCCTGTTTTAAATTATGGCGTCTGGGCTTCTCTTTTTTTATATATTTGGATCACATATTATACTTTTAACACACGCTAAAAAGTAGAATAATTTCCTTTACTGACAGCCAAAATATTTAAAATGTTTTCTATAGCAATTAAAGAATGAAACAATGGAGCTGTGTTGATTGTTTGTAAAATTGTCTGTAGGATAATAATGATTGTTTTGTGTGTTTATAGGCGCTGATGACTGTGAGGAAACTGTACCACATCAGTTTGGGATGTACTGACCAAACGCTTCTGGGACTCCAAACTGGACTTGTTGCTCTATAGACGACAGACAATAATATAAATAAAAGGCCAGTGAATGTGGCATTTAATTCAATACTAATGATGTATTTGAACTTTTTTTTATTTTTTATGTCTGTGTTGTTTTATCTGGCACATTTCCCTCCTTTGTACATTTGCATTTTGTCACTTACTGCAAACACAAGTGGATCCCTAAATAGTAA